TAGACTTTGTACGGACAAGTATAATGAAATATGGGACTCATTTATACAAAATACACTGGGTTAAGAAAAATGGTAGTCATATAATTCTATTAGAAATATACATGTACTTGAGTAATATTTGTATTAGATAAGCATATATAGAATTCTGTTTACTGTTATAATGATATATTAACACTTTTTTTTCGTTTTGTTGTATTTTTTTCCACTTTTATGTTAAAGAAATGACCACAGGGAAAGGTGTTACTAAAAGATCCTCTAAGAAAAAAAAAAAATACTGCATTCACAAATCTCCCAGCTAAACTATATGAAAAAAAAGAGAGAAAGAGAGAGAACGGCTAGTGACTCATCAAAGAAAGGGCTGAAAGCAAAGTAATAGATATAATTCAAGGAAGATAGAAAGAAACAAAAGTGGGTGCCAAGTAAATAATTTCCCAAGCTATTTCAGCAATATTATTCTTCTATTAGCTAAAATGTGAAACAAAGATGACTCTCATTTTCCAGGGAATGCAAATTGTTTTCCCAGTGTTACAAATTACTGTGGTTTAATGCTACTGAATCACAGATCATTTACCGAAACTCAGTGGGATTTACTTTAAGAGTACTGAAACATAATATATATTCATGCATTTTACATGTGTGTGTGTGTGTGTGTAGTCTCACACACTTACACAAAGTTTTAAAAGTACTCTAAGTAGATACAGCCTCAGACACCTTTGTCCAGCTATTAGTGAAATGAAAGATTAATGTATTAACAGACCCTGAGCTGAAAGAAATAATCGGATCGGCCAGCTAGATGCAAGGGGAGTGGGGGGAGCATCTTACCTCCCAGTGGAATAACCCCTTACATTACTGCCCAACCCAACACGACCAACTGCTGAGAGCTTTTGAAACGCTCCGCAGCCTCAGCGCAGGCTGAGCTTAGGGGGGACCCTCTCTGGTCCAAGGCAATGCAGAGACCGGATTGCCAACCCATCAACGCCCTCACCGCCTTTACCTGTTGGGGGCCACCGGAGCAGCCAGGTGGGCATATGCGGGGGACCGGAGATACCTCATCACTCTGGGGGTGTCGTCCGTCGCGGCTCTGCCCTCCTTCTCCCAGCCCCTGGCAAGCAAGCAAGCAAGAGAGCAACGTTGCCCGAGAGTGTCCAGCGGGAGCAGCGGTCAGGAAGAGCCCAAGCACGCGCTCACCAGCAGCCAGTCCCTCCTGCAATCCCCGCGGGGCCGTGACCTCCGAACCCCCTGCCCGGGGCCGCGGCTCCCCC